TTCTTCTTTTTTTTTTATCAGCTTTTTATTGGTTTTTTTTTTGTTTTGTCTTGGCCAATGGCGTCAAATGTAGCGTTAACTTGGCATCTCTGACAAATCAGAGAAAAATCTGAAAATCAAATTACCAAAAACATGCACCTAGCCCGGCAGCACAGCGCGGGGTGTGTGTTGGGACAAGGTATGTGCTTGACAAAAAAGAAGAAAAAAAACTCACGTGTCATGATGCACTTGAGACTGGGCGCAGTCAACTGCTGCTCTGGCTATCACTCCCTCTCTCTCTCTCTCCCCTCATGTACTCCTCTGGGTGTTTCTGTCATTGTTTTCGACAGCAATTTGGGTTTGTTGGGCGGATGGGTTTGGCATGGGATGTGGGGAGCACACATTGACATTGTCTGCTGCGGCGACTTTTAGTTCTCAAATCAAAAACGTATCAAATAAAAGATGGCTCGTATGCTCCATAGCATACTTTTGTGCGCACTCAACACGTGCTCAGCGTCAGCTACCCCAGTCCCGCTCCCATTCCAGCTCATTGTGTGCTGCTGCTCCTGCGGATATGAATGTGATTGTGAAGCTGACGAGTACTTTCAGCTCGAATGCTGCTGTCAGCAGGTCCATGTCCAGGGCCAGCGAATGCGACATTTTTCGAGTGCTGCTTAGCCACTTGGGAGTTTCGAGTTGAAGCTCCAGACGCTGACGAGGCGACGATGACACAAATGTACCCCAAAACAGAAAAAAAAGGTTGCACAACGAGCCAAAGTATAATCAGAAAATAAAAAATAGAAATAGCGACAACAACTTTTTAAAGCACTTGAACATGAAATTCTATTTACAAGTGCAAATAATGTGCGAGTTGTACAATTTTTAGGGCTTCGCTAAGGCTGTTTTTATGATGGAAGAAAAAAAAACTGAAGGCGGCTCGAGACTCAGCATGTTCCCGCAGTGTCAGCGAAACATAGGGTTAGGTTATACAAATTTGAAAAACAACAATAATTCTTATTAATGTCATATATTAAGCTGACTAGGTTCAAGTTCAATGTGCGTTTTCTGATTCTTTTCTCTTTAAATATTTCAAAAGCCTTCAAGTTCTATGATTGAGCAGCTTTGCTTGCAACTCTAGATTTGTAGACTACCTACCCTACTCATTTGAAGCATAAGCCTGTTAAATTATCATGTGAAACTAACAACTGAACTTATAAGGCGTTTATTACTTTTACTTTTGTCCAACATAGCCATAATATCGCACACTGTGTTTCGAGCCTAGCCATTTTAGCGCGAGGAACTTGAACTAAGAACTTTTTGTCTGGGGAAAGAATCTCAGCAAAAACAGAAAGAAATCTTTCCAGAAAAGATATCGAAACACGATCTTACATCAACCGAAATAGAAAACGTAACCAAACTAAATGGAAAGAGGAAATATAAAAAGAAAACTTCCCTTTAAAACAGTTATAATATCGATTTATTTGAATATTTTCCTATCTCGTTTATCAGAGCATAAAAAAAAAGGTTAGAAATAAATAACATGTTTGCGCTTTATCCAAACACTTTCAGCAAGCTCTGAAAATTAGCAATATTATTATTCAAACTGATTACCAAGTCCAACTGCAAACAGCTAATTAAATAACCAAAATTTGGAATGCCATGTTATTGTGTTGCCAATGCATATAATTAACCCACATTCGTGACGCCACAGCCCCTTACACGTCGCCACAATAACAACAACAGCAATAACAACAACAACAACAAGTGCAACCACAAGCTGGAGCTCGCAGCTCTCACCTGGGGGATCCTTTGGTGTTGAATGTGTGAAAGTGCGCTTGCATAATTTCATTAAAATAACTGTCAAAAATTTCACGTATGCCATACACACAAACACACACGCTAAGCCTGCGGCTCGCATGCACACACACCAATAACACGCACACACACACACACACGCACACAAGCTAAAACCAACAAAATGCTAAACGCTTCGAATTCAAACGCGTATTTTGTAGCCTCTGCCGCTGCGGCGCAGCTGTCAATAGGAATTCTGCAGGTGTCAAAAATATTTCAGGCATGACTGTGTCTGTCTCTCTGCATTAGTATGCGTGTGCGTGTGTGTGTGTGTGTGTGTGTGAAAATTGGCATAAATTGCTTTAGGGCCATGTGGGTAGCAGCACATGTCACACTCGCGCCTCTCTCTCTCTCTCTCTCTCTGCCCGTCTGCCCGTCTGTCCGCCCGTCCGCCCCTCTGTGTGAAATTAATTTTCATTGTTGGATTGCGCGACTTAGACATCATTATCATGTTCTTATCGGCATCGCCACACATGCCACACAAATTTTTGCTCTTCATGTGGCACCTAATCGCTCAGAAAGCGCTGAACATTTGCCACAAAGCCCACGAATGACAATCGATTTTCGATTTAAAGAATTTGACATGCCACAAAAAGCTGCTGATCATGAATTTGTGTCAATTTTGCAGCAAGAATATTCAGTTGTGATTGTATCTCGCATTGAGGGATTTAAATTGATGCCATTGAAGTATTTAAATCTGTTTGAATTGAACTTTATGGTCGAGTTTGCTGAGTTTTCCAATAACTATTTAAGAATAAACACAATCAAGCTCTGTGTTCATAAGCTTGGAAAAAATAAGTTTCATTTAATTTCGTTTATATAGAAATTAAGCTTACATATTTATTGAACCGACCAAACTTTAATATGGAAATGCAAATTTGTATTATTCCCATCGAAAGCTTTCGAATTTCTCAACTGTCGGCAGTTGCTTTTGGCTGCTGCAAATAAAGCCTAATGAATCCAAGCTATATTTATCTTCATTAGTTTCCATATTTGACAAAAGATATCAAGTTATAATAAAATATATATTGAGGCAAAAAAGGAGAAAAGCGCACGACTGTGTGCTACCCTTTACTTCGTAGGAAATATATATATATACATAAAGCTATCGATGGGAAATATCAAATTATACAAATTGCATTTCCAAATTAAAGTTCGGAATATCTATCAATATGAAATTATCATAAAGAGCACATGACACATTATAATTTGAATAAAATTATTAAAAACAAGTTCAACATTTATTATAAAGCATTTCCCATTGCTAAAGAGTATAGGCCGTATCAGAGTGACAGATTTCAGAACTCATTCTTTGTGTTAAAGCCAAATTGTTATCGTCATTTTGGGCCCAACAATTCAATTACAATTCTATGGGCTGTCATAAAGGAAACTCAATACCAAAACTCAAGCATTGTGGCCAGAGTTGAGCTGCTCGTGCATAGTTTGCTCGAGTGTCTCTTTGGCCGGGGTAACGGAGCAGCCATTTTATGGTTACCCGAATGCCTCACAGATAATGAACAGGAAGCCTCTGGCAGCACACATGTGAGTGCGTGTGCGTGTGCGTGTGTGTGTGTGTCTGTGCTCTTGAGTTGCGGAGCCAAACAATTTTGTGGAAGCCACAAAACTAACCAAGCAAATAATTTGTGAAAATTGAATTGAATCTCAAATGAATATGAATATAAAGCAAATGTGCCACTCCCACTTCCATTCCCACTCAGACTCTCAAACTCTCTCGCTTATCCTCGACCATCTTTCGGCAACTTACAAATAATTTGGCAAAATTTAATTTGATTTGTCACTCAGTTGGCAAAGTGCTGTAAACTCACATCAAACTTCGCCAATCTGGGTGGTCGGGGCCGCTTTGCGCTTCATTGCCAGCTTAATTGCAAAGTTGTATATCAAAGTCTTTGGCGGCGGCCAAGTAACCAAAACGAATTGAAATCGAATCACGTTGCCGGCCACAACGCGGCAACCAACAAGCACTTCAACAAAAATGTCAAGTGAAAAACCATTCAAATCTTTGGCCTCACTCGAGCCTCGGTTGCGTCCCACAAACACAAAAAAAAAAAAGAAAATAGGAAAAGAAGAAACTTTCTAAAATCAACGCCGAGCACCTTTTTGAAAAGGTAGCGAAACGTGAGTTGACTTGCCAATGCCAGAGCGTCCATAGAGCAACGAGAAATCGAAAGCGAGACTGAACTGGGCTACAGCTCGGAGAACTCGAAGAGCTCGAGGAACTCAGCGTAAGCCCAACTTGAGCTCGCTTCAGTCGCAAACATTTTCGTTTAATGAGACCAATAAAAGCCTGTGGCCCAGCCCCAGACCCAGAGCCAGATCCTGTGCCTGGGGTCTCTTGGCGAAATCAAAAGTTTTTTGCAAATTGCATTTGTAATGGCAGCGACGCTTAAATCTTTTATGAGCTTCATACTCAAGTATATTATGGAAGGAGCTGGATGGATGCTGGGACACCCTGGCACAGCCGGAAATGAAATTGAAAGCGCACGCACGTGTTTAAGACGTTAAAACCCTTGCCTCTAATTGTTCGCATGGGACACTTTTCGGCTAACTGTAAAGCTGGCCACGCCCACCCGGAAAATGAAATCAACTCAAGTACAGTTTAGCGCAAAATTATTTCAGTTTCGATGTGCAATTGATCGCAAAATCTTAAAACTTTTGTTGGCCATTTATAAAACGAAAGTTTTAAAATCATTTTGGAGGCAAGAACGTATTTCTTCACCTTCACCTTACCCTTAAGTTCTCTTTCTGGCATGAGGTAAAAAGGATATAATATGTATAAATATAATCTTATAGATATACAAAATAACGTATCTCCTTATTAATTGTCCTAAAAAAGAGACTCAAAGGTGCGAAGAACTAACCACCATGTTTGCTTTGAAGTTACATGAGAAATCTTCTTTCAAATATGTCAAATTATTAATTAGCTAATGAAACTGAACGAAATGCTAAGCTGACAGAATAGGATAGAATATTTTAGGAATATTTATGCTGTATTCCGAATTGCATTAATAGAATAGTTATCAAAAATATCTATATAGCATAACATAACTCCTTAATAATTGCCCGCAAGGACAGACTCAAGGGTAGAAAGGATTGCCAGCTCTGCTTGCTTTGAATGTAAAAAGAACATCAGAGTAGGCTTTCCCTTTTATGCCAATTTAGTTGCAATTGAAAACAGGCATTAATTTTGAATTTTACTCACAATTATTAAGAAGGTGCGTACTTCCCCGCTTTCTCATAAAAATAAACATATTTATGTTGCTAATTTTTTATATTTTAGAGTTATTCCTGACCATGTCTCGTACGATATTGCTGGTGCACCCAAAGAAAAATCCAAGGACGCGCACCTATACTGAATATAGTAGCACTCAGCAATGCCTGGATGCGGTCTGCAAGATTTATGAGGAGCATCTGAAGCGTAGCATGCCCCAATTGCCGACGATTACCTATGATATCATACAACTGTTTGATTTCATCGATTCCTTCGTGGACATAAGCTGCCTAGTGCATGAGAAGAGCACAGGAGGCTATGTGCCACACAGCAAGGAATGGATTAAGGATAAGATCTATGAACAGTTTCGACAATCAGCTTTAAATATAAAGTAGATTCACGAAATACAAGATCCTGTGCCTTTTTTTTATAACAATTCCCACAAATTGAAAATAAAAGTCCAGTTTATTTCACTCGTCTTTGCAAATGCAAATGAAAATTAATTGCGCTACCAATGTCTCGGGTAAAATCAGATACAAACAAGCAACAGGAAAAACAATTAATTAATCATCAGCAACAAGAAGAGAACATTAACTACAATCGTTCGCCAGAGAGTTCCCGGCGGGGAAGTTGCCACAGTGAAAAGTAATCCACTTAAACTCGAATTTGTCAAAAGCATAAAATTACAGAAGCAATAGCTAATACAAGAAGACGTTGAGGAGGGCGAGGAAAACATGCGACAACAAATACCAGTGCCAAAAAGGGGTCAACAGAATTGGGAAAGCGGAAAAAAAGAAGGAAAATACAAATGATCGCTCATAAAAAGTGACACTTTTTGGCGCACCAGCCAAAGGTGGACAAAGAGACAAGGAGTACAGCAAAAGGATGTGAAACGGACGGAATGGTAAGGCCGTGGGCGGAAGGGGAAAACAAAATGTCGCTTTTCGTCGCATCCGTCATTCGGTTATATTGGAAATTTGTTTCAATCAAAGGTTTAGCAGCAAATGGGCACACGTGTGTGTGTGTGTGTATGTGTGTATGCAGTTATGTGCCATATCGAATCACTCAAAGTGTTACAAAGACAACGCCAGACAAAAGCACAGATGCCCAGACAGACAAACAGAGAGACAGACAGATAGACAGAGAGACAGTCAGATGCTGGCGTTGTTGGAGTTTATTGCCAAATGGTTATCATATTGCTTATAGATTTTGCAACAGGAGCCGACTGACATTGATTGATCAATATGAGAGCCGCAGTTACCTAACCGTCAGTTACCTGCCTTTATCTTTTTTATATCGTGCTTCCGTTTTTTTTTTTTGTCAACTCTTGTTTCGAATGACAGACTTTTGTTGTGCTGGCGAGGTGTGGGGCTTTGGCGGCTGCAGCTGCGTTCCAAGTGATTTCTGTTTATGATTAATCACTACGTGCCGCATGGGGCAACAGTTGGCAGCAAAAGAACTTTTTATAAAATAATATAACTTGAGCTTTAACGCGCACAGTTGGCAAAATGGCAACAACAATGCAAATTAAAAAATATTTAGGCAGCTGTGGCGAGCACTCGAAATTTACGCAGTGCAAACTTATATTTTATGATTTTGATTGCGAGCATTGCGAATGCCCAAAAAAGTAGGCAACGAAAAATGTAAAACGCTCGCCTGCTGCACAATGGGATTCTCATGAATTTTCAGTCTTCAAAAATAACAAATAAATAAAATAGTAATACCAAGTAATAAGAGCTGCTAAGATTGAAATTTTTGCCCAGATTTGAGCATTCTTTTGGACCAATTGAAAGTCACAGTTTCTAGATGTAGTGAGTAAGGTAAACAGATTTAGATTTAGTCGTTCCCACATTATTTGTGTGTCCAACTTAGTTAAGATACTTGAGTTGGCATCTTGGACAGAAGTCTTTCTTTTAGAAATCTATATGAGGTATTATCATTTAATGAACTGTGAATCTTTTGGGCTACGTTAACCAACTAGCACACATTATATTGTTCTCAACATTTTCAAATGTATTCCATAGTGCAGTTGGGATTCGCATTCGCATCTGGGCTGTGCAAAAGTTTTGCCTGCTTTGGTGTCTGAATTTACGTGCGTGTTAGTCAACAATGGAACAGCCTGTAATAACAAAATATTCCTAAGTTCAATTCCAACAACATTTCGCCAAATGTATAAGAAAAGCCGAATGGAGATTGTTTAAAATTTAAAAAATATATACATGCTACTCCCCAATATATTTAGTCTGTCATAAAGTAAACCTTGTTCGCATATTGGCGATTTTACGGCGAAAGCGTTTTGTGTTCATATCTGCCTCACAGCTCAAATGTCTATTGCATTTTGATAACAGCAAATTGACGGCAGATTTCGCAAACACTAGCACACACACACACACACACACACACAAACAGCTTTCAATTTGAGTCAAATACAAATAAATACGGCACAGCTGCTACGCGTATCTTTCGAATATGTTAGCCAAAAATATAAAAATTGTTTTGTACTCTGCTTGCATTATTTATGCGGCATTTCTTGTGCTCATTTTCTCATGTATTTCACATAATTTGAAAGCCAAATTGTTTTTCAATTGGAAAGGAATACCACACAAAAAAAAAGAAAACAAAACAAGCAAAACAATTACGAACACTTTAAGCACAACTGGCAACAGGCATTGGGTAAATATTTTTCCAGGCCAACATATTTTGTAATTTTCTACACATTTTATGCGATTCGTCGTTGTTGTTGTTGTTGTTGGTATTTTGTGAGCTGAATGAAAGGACGACCCGAACAATTTGGTGTAATTTAATTAAATGAACACAGCAGTAGACCAAAAGCAGCGGGCAGTCTGGCCAGTACTGGCCAGGCCAACAGACAGTCTAGACTTGAGTGTGAGCCACGGGGCCAACGAGGCCTCAGGTCCTGGGCCAGGTCCTGCCAATTCACAATGCATTGTTCACTGACTGAGGGATGCTCAAAATGACAAAAGTTAATGCCTAGCAACGTCGAACGTTGAGAGCGAACAAAGGCGTACAACAACAACAACTGTTATTAGTAGGCAGCCAGCCAAAACCCGAATGAAAATAATAAAAAGGCAATGACTATGACGCTGATGTCCATGTTGATAGGCAACCAAAAGAAAAACGCTAAAAACAAAATGAGAATCGAGAAGAAAGGCATTGCCAAAGGAAGGCACTGAAAGAGAGCCATGCAGGACACCTGCTGATTAAGATCACAAATTGAAAATCATGCCGGGCGCCGACAGGACACGCTTCAGATGGCAGCTACCACATCAAGCCCTGCTCCCATAGCCAACCCTCTTGCCCACTGCTGTCAGCTTTTTGCCAACCTGAGTGAGAAAGGTGAGAGAAAAAGAAAAGAAAACATTAAACATTTGCGTTATTTTCATTAGTGCCAGGCGCAGGACAAGTTCAATCAATGCCCGTAGTTTGGAATTTTCGAATTAAGCTAATCGAAAGCGAAGCCTGTAAATACACACATACATTTTACTCTTGTACAAAATAAGAACTGCTTGGTCTAGCTTTTGACTTGAATACAACAAATTTTATCAAGTATCTGTCTGAAAAGTTTTTGTTTACTAAGGATTTAAAGGCTATGATGGAAATTGAATCGGATGTAGCGAGCTTTAGATACACTTCACATTGAAATTTAACTTATACAAAATATGCTCCATAAAGAAATTAAATCAAAAAATTACCTGTAAATTATAACAAATTGTGATCAAGGTGTAAGCTAAGTGTCGGAATCGAAACTTTACAAAAGACCACAAGTTATCATAACAGTATAAAAGTAAATAATTTAAAAATCTGGCTATTATCTTTGGGTGATGCAATCAGTTGATTTATAAGATAAGTAAGAAACCTTCTTCGCGGATTCATCAGGTAAAGTAAATAAAATGTAAGTATTTTACGTAAACACATTAGTACATAGCTTAAATAGTTCGTTTTTTGTTGTTGTTAGCTTTCATTACATGTTGTAATGCCCATGCCTAGAGGTCATAGTTCAGACAAAAGCAGCGGCTGACTGGCAGGCGGACAAGTCTACACAACAGACAGCCAGACAGTTGTGCTCTGGGCCGGAGTGTAAATGGCAGAAACAAAACTCAAAGCGTTAATGAAATTGAAATCAATAACAAGTGAAACTCACGCACACACACAAACATACACAGACACACAACCATTCAAAGCTGTTTACATCAAAGCGCAGCACTGACCATTTAGAATTTGACTAGAACTCTAATAAACCGATTATATCTGGTTATGTGTTTATATTTGAATACCCTGTACCGAATAAAATATATATATATATATATATAATATTCTGAAGCTAACCGAGTCCTGATGAAAGCGTTTGAGTTAGATAGAAAATCCCTTTCTAAGTCACAACTTATAAAAGAGAGTCTGCGATCTAGATAATCACGTAAAATGGGACTTACATTTGTGGGGTAAGTGTAAGTGCATAGATATATGCTTTTTAACAGCAAAAATCGATAAATTTCGATTTATGTAATGTCTTTTGTACATATAATAACTAGATAAATATACTTTAAGGGTCACGTACAGGAAATCTCCTAGTCCAGACACTTTCTATTAAATCAATTGCACTTTTTTTTGTCAAGTTTTATATGAATACATCGTAATCAAGTGTTGAAATTTGTGACTTTATTCGCTGCTAACCACAAATTGAGTTTTGTGAGTAAATTAAATTTTGACTGGAACAAATTTTTTACAGAATGTTTAGCACTAAATGCTGACTTTTCACTGCATGCAGAGAGAATGAGATAGAGAGAGCCAGATCCGCTTCATAGAGTTGAAAATAGTGCGAGAGAGGGAGAGGGAGAGAGGGAGGCGGATAGTTGGTGGCCTGCCACATGTGTCGTCAAGTTTATGTGGCCAAAAACTTGCAACTGGCAACTTTCTTAATTGTCTGATTGAATTGATGATTTAATAACTTTAATTTAATTTGAGAGTCGTTTCAAAGTGTGTGTGCCTCTGTGTGTGTGTGTGTGTGTCTGCGTGTGCAAAGTTCTTTAGAGTTGTGTGCTTAAAACTTTGTCAGTTTTGATTTTCATTTGGCGTGGTTTGTGCTAAGTTTCTGAGCTGTGCGAGTGCCAAAAGCCAAAGATTTGTCAATGAAATTATTGAAGTTGCAGTTGGACCAGCAACAGCAGCAGCAGCAGCATCTGTTGGCCAAGTGAAAAGGTTTCGTTTAGGGACTGTATGCTGCTCTGTTGCAATGAATCAAAAAGTAAAATCAATTTTTGTGCCTTTCCCTGTGCTGATGGACATGGGCCAGACCATTAATCCAGCCTGGCAGAGCCGGTAACAAAAATAGGAGGCGACAACATTGATGTGGACAATGCCACAATGCGATTGCGGTCAGCACTGGACATGGCTGAACCCAATGTTGAGCCGCCTTTGCCGTTCCCTTTGCCTCTGTCGTTGCCGCATCCGTTT